AGATATACTTATACTGCGTATGGGATACACGAGTATGCATGCCAAATTTTAGCCCTCTAGCTCTTATATCTTCTGAGATACGGACGGACAGACGGACAGGGCTATATCGACTCAGCTCGTCGTCCTGATCAAGAATATGTATACTTTATGGAGTCTGCGAAGATTCCTTCTGTCTGTTACATACTTTTCACAAAACCATTATACCCGGATTTCCCATTTTCAATGGGTTCAGGGCATAACAAACTAGTCATTTCATGGTGTAAATGTCAGTTGAAGTTGTGAGTTTCTAACAATATACGTCTGAAAAGAGAGATTTGAATCAATAGTCGCGGCCGGTCGACAAGGAGATACCGTAAGAACGCGTCCTGCACACACGCGCTTATATGCCCTGATGATTATATACAAAGATCCCCTGATTTTGTATTTTTAATGAATTCCGGGTATATAAACTATATTATATATATTTAACGAGTAAGCAATATTTTTCCGTACTAGAGTAAAACATATTTTAGATTTCCTTTTCAGAATTTAAGGGAACACTATTAAAAGCTCTCATTATATATACATATACATACATATGTAACCATAGAGCAGTGGGAAAGCTTCAAAAATGCGCTCTATGCTACCTTGAATTCAGTACTCAATTTTTCCGGTCAGTCGTCTCTTTGATTTTGAAGAAGAAAGATCAGATCAGTAAAAAATTAAAAATACAAAAACTTCATATTGATTTGAGAAAGTATATCTGCTTAAAGTCGAATAAGTGCAATAAAAATAAATTGGTAAAGTTAAATAATAAAAGCATACATATTCATATGGGTAGACATATGTACCGTTGGGACTGATATTGATATTTAAGTATACAGAGTAATACTTTACCTTAAATATATCTCAACAATATTTGCAATATTTTGTGTACAAAAGATTGCACAGAATATTTGAAAAGATGCTGACGCATCTAACCTCCTGCCCGCTACTTTAAATTCATCAATCACATACTTTGTCTATCCCCATTTTTTTCTATTTTTCTACACGATTACCTATTCTTTATTCGGTAATTTAGAAGTGTGTGTCATTGATGTAGCCACACACACACGCACAGACACCCGCATTAGCAAGAGCGCATATGTGCATACATATGTATGTGTATGTACATATTGTGTGTCCGAATTCCGGACGAAATCGTATTTTTATACAGTCACATGTATGCACACACACACGGACAGATACACATATTTAGAAGTGCATTTAGGTCTCAGAGATATTCATACGAGTTCATAGGTATACATATGTATGTATGTATATTCGTACATCGTCTCGTCTGAAAAAAATACGGAAAAAATATGGTTCGACTTCATTTATTTGGGAAAATAATATTCTTTTAGCTACATATCTACATACATATCTATGTATGTTATGTTTTAAAAAACTTCACGCGATGTGAAGAGAGTATATAGGCTATGTAGAATGTCTGTGTAGTTGCTAAGCTAAATACATACATAAATTTGATATTCTTTAAGACAATGGACCAATGTATAGATTATTGTCTATTGGCCCACAATTTGACAGTTAATTCCTTCTTGAGACTTACAAAATGAACCTTACTGACACTTTACATTGTAGTATAGTATAGCAATTTGAAGATAAATACATATGTATGTATGTAGCAGTGTTGCCAAATCAGTTTTTTTCCCGTCAAATCAGGCTTTATTTCCGCTTTTTTATAAACAGAGTAGTTTTTCGTATTTTATAGGAATAACTCGTATGTAGAATGAAGTTTTGTTCATTGTAATTGAACTATAACTAAATAATTCATTAGGTCCATTTTCTATGAATGAACCAATCGTTAATGATTTATATTTAATTCAATTGATCTTATTTTGAGCAATTTTATTAAACTTTGTGAATTTTTCTAAACAAAACGTAAAAATTTTCTAACAAAGCTTATAAGGCAATTAAAAAGTAGGTATGCAAATAATTTGATTGCATGTAGTACAAGAATTTATGTTTTAACGAAATATGAATATTGAAAGACAAATAAAAATATTCACCTAATCAGTGCCGCCAACTTTTCCGGGCAAGAAAATGCTAAATTAACCTGTCAAACCTCCCAGAAAAGGCTGGATCAAATTCGAGAATATCCAGAAACATAGCCATTTCAGTTTTCATACCGTAAACCCATTGAAAATGCCAAATCAGGGTATAAAAGTATATATATTCTTGATCAGGGCGACGAGTTGAATCGAATTAGGACGGTCCGTCTGTCTGTCCGTATGTATGAAGATATAAGAGCTAGAGACTTGATTTTTTTTAAATGTCCATAAAAAAAAGTCAAAGAAAAGTTATTAAACAGTTAAGGTCCCATTGTAGGCACACACTGCAGCAAATGCGTCTTTATCCGTGCGTGCATATGTGTGAATGTGTTGTTTCTTGTGTAAAGAGAAAAACGCGAAGAATTATTGAAATATCAGTTGGTCGAAGGCTTCAGTGGATCTCG